AATTTGATCACAATGTATACCAATATAATGCTGTTATTAATAAAATAATTATTAATATACAATTAATATTACTCAATAATAATAGTAAAATATTTCCATTGGTATTATTATATCTACATGCATATATTACTTCTTTCATATTATAAATGCATGTAAATTTTGCGCATATGCACATTTTTATTTTCCGTACGATAAGATTGTACAATCTGTAATATAAAAAAAAAAGAAGAAAAAAAAAGCAAAAAAAAAAAAAAAAAAAGGAAACATCTCTGAATCAATGCTTTATAAGTAAGCTTAGTCATTTTTTACGTGGACGATAGCGTACGATCTAATCTCTGCTAATCCTGATATTACGACAACGCACTTCGTTATCACACAATCAAATATCATCTCTATACAATATACACACACACATATCTTTCTTGGTAATTTTAAAGAGGGGAATTAATGATTAATTAATCATCAAGATATATATATATATATATGTACACATACACATACACACACACACACACATATATATATATATATATATGCATATGTACGTCGCGTCTATTTATGCGGCATACTTCTCTACGTTATTACCGATAAGAAACGGCGTATAGTTTGTATATTTTAAAATAAGCAATGGGCAAATCGTAAAAGAACGTTCATTCGATATTGTTACACGTGCGATGGATCGAATATCGATGTACGAAACGAAACGATTCTCCTTCGTATACTTTTTCTTTTTTTTTTTTCTTTCTCTCTTTCTTTCTTTCTTTTTTCTTTTCTCTTTTTTTTTTTTTTTTTTTTTTTTTAATTATTATCATCATCCTACCTCAACTCCGCACCACTTTTCTCTTCTTCGTTTGTATTTAACCTTGCGAGTTATAATAAAAAGGAAAACAGAAAAAAAAGATAAGGAAAATCCAAAATAAAAGAGAAAAGAAGAAATAAAAAAGAGAGAAGATGAAGATAAAAAAAAAAAAAAAAAAAAAATAAAGAGCAAACGTTCTTCCTCTGTTTCTCAGAAAATGTTGAGAGATTCAACGTGACCGTGACTAAAACAGTATATGTATATCGAAACGAAGTATTTTCAGAATATCTACAATATATATATACATATACACACACACATATAGATATATATAATTTGGCAAACATTATTGAAAATTCGTTCTTAAATAATTAATTATACCATTCTTAGATCTCGATTTTGAAATCGTATTCTAAAATGTTTATAAATGAAACGTTAAAGATAAATAATTATCCACATACGTACATAGATTTTCTCCGTAATAGGAATTCGTAGAAATTCTAATATAGGGGGGGGGAAATATTTCTATTAATGTGCATGTTTTTATTTGTATATCTGTATGTGTATGTGAAAACTGATTTGTGAGAATGATCAATAAGAAAATATTGATTTTCGCCTACGTTTTAACATGTCAAAGATACCGGTAGCGCACGTTTAAACCTACCAGAAGCAGGATAGATAGATAGTTACGTCGATAATGTTTATATGCATTCATAAATTCCAACGCGCCTATGCAAATCCTTTGAGATCGAATTCATTGTGAACGTGCATTAGGCTTTCATGTTACGATTGGTTATTCAGAGAAAGAAATACGATGAGAAATAGATAAATGAAGAGAGTTACCATTCGACGGTGTTGCGTTAAGAGTAAGATCGCCTAATCTAATTCGTTTATTTCGTATTATTTTGAAAATATTCTTCTATTTTCTCTTATACTTGTTCTCGAAATAATCATGAGAATTAGAATATTCTTTTTTTTTCTGTTTTCCCTTTTTTTTTTTTTTTTTTTTTTTAAGCAAATCGTTTAATACATATTTTATATCAATCGTTATTTAAATATCAATTTATAAGGTGGCATACAATTCTGATTGACCTTTTTATTTCTTTTTTTTTATTTATTTATTTATTCTTTTTTTTTCTCATTAACCAATTAATAAAATCTCAAGTTTTAGAAATTGAAGAAATTTCTCATAAAGATCAATGAAAATTAATTTTTAATTTTTTATATACGTATGTGTATAAAAAATTGTGCACATATGTTATTTTTATTTTTAGAACGAAAATAAAATTAAAGATAAGAAATAAATGTACATATGCGTGTTAACAAATATGAAAAAATGTTATTTTGAGTATATTGTTTACTAAACTTTAAGTCTTATCAAATTGTTGTTTTTACGAAACAATATTTCTCTTTAAAAAAACTTTAACCTTCTCTTTAATGTATGCACTCAAGGTGAAACTTTGAAATCTTCGATAATAATTCATCCATATAGATATTGTTTTATATATTTATACATAAATAGAACTCAAGGATGTCGCTGTGATTAACAAATAAAATTAAAAAATATCTACTTATACGATATTTCTTTTTTATCTTATTTTATAAAAAAAAAAAAAAAAAAAAAACAAAAACTTTTAGATTTATCTCAATGAACAAAAATTAATTGAAAAGATTCATTACAAAAATCTCCATTAGAAAAAACGAATTTCCTTTCGATTCTTTTTATCTTTCTCTCTCTTAATTATCTTTTAATCTAATTGTTTACAGAGACTACATACAATATACGACTTACCCTACAACTATACTACAATTATAGCAAATATAATTTATAGTCAGTTCATATCTGAAGGTTAATATTTGCTCTAGTAATAATAGTTTTTTTTGCAAAAAAAAAAAAAAAAAAAGAAACAAAGAAAAGAAAAGAAAAAGAAAGAAGGAAGAACAATAAAATACATAAGGCTCAAAAATACGCATGAATAATGAATAACCTCAAGGTTATCGTGACTAACGTGGAAGGTTAATGAATGACTTATTAGTACTGATGACATAACATCCGGATAAGAAACGTTCCAAATGAGTTAAGAAAATCGAATATCTGCAAGGAAAAAAGAACTCGATATTTCTTCTCTCCCTCTACTCCTCCTCCCGACGTCAAAAAAAAGGACAGAAAATCAAAAAAAAAAAAAAGAAAAAAAGACCCGACGAAAAAAGCAAAAAACACAAGATTTCTTCGAAACCACAAACTTCTTGATCCAATTAAGAGAAATAAAATGAAGAATATGAAAGAGTTCTCTCGCCTTTGAATATCAGGGGAAAAAAAAAAAGAAGAGATTATCAAAATACGGAGGCCGATAATTCATATAAGATGAATGAAATAAAACAATCGATGCTCGTGACCTCGTAGATCGTCGTTCAAAACTCGCCCACTCTTCTATCGATCGTGAAGTCCGCATATTGACAGACAAATAGACAAGTGGACAGACAAACAAACAGATAGACAGACGGACAGACAGGCAGACAGGCATACAGGCAGACAGACAGACAGACAGACAGACAGACAGACAGACAGATAGACAGACAGACAGACAGACAAACGAGTTATATTATATGGGCAGAAGTTAACTGTGCTAGGAACTCTTAAGTACGCTCGCGAAAGCTCGCGCCGTTGAACGCGATTCTATGCAAACTCGTATTGAATTACAAGGCAAACAGTAAAAGAAAGAGAGAGAGAGAGAGAGTGAGAGTGAGAGGGGGCAGGAGAGAGAGAGAGAGAGAGAGAGAAAGAGAGAAAGAGATATAGAAAAGGAAAAGGAGAAAGAAAGAGAAAAAAATATACGAACGAAGAAAGAGAGAAAGATCGAAAGATAGAAAGATACAAAGTGAAAGATAGATAGATAAATAGAGAAAGAGAGAGAGAGAGAGAGAGAGATGCACGGAGACACGGAGGAAGCTAGTCTCGCACCAGGTAAATTCTTGCTCGGGTCGTTCGTACTCGCCAACGCAAATACTCGAAGAAGCTTTCGCAACTAGCCGATCGGCCTGCATCTAAATATCACGTTGGCGTTTTACCGCGGCCAGGCGCGTGTGGGTGCACCTTAAAAGCGAGACAATCGTTGCTTATAAACCCTTCACCACTATCCATACCCCCTTCTTGCTCCCCTTTCCCATCTTCCAGCTCCCCACCTCTCTCTCTCTTTCTCTCTCTCTCTCTCTCTATCTTCATCCTTTTCTTCCCCCTTCTCCTTCATTTTCTTCCCTTTCTTTCCCGCTAACCCCCGTTTTACAACCAAGACGATAGGCTGGTACATAAAGCAAGGTATTTTAGCAGGTTGATGCCTCCGTGCAATTTATCCTCTCCGATAGAGTCCCTCTCTCTCTCTCTCTCTCTCTCTCTCTCTCTCTTTCTCTCTCTTTCAAACGAGTCATCTTTCAGAGGCTCACGCCCTCGGAGTTCAACCGAAGAGAGTTCGAGAGTAGAGAAGGTGGGCAGGCGGGCGGCTGATGTGTGTAATGGGAAGGGTCCAGGGGCGGGGGGTGGGATAAATAATACGTTATCGCGAGAATGAATTTCAGGTGAATACGGGGGAGAGGGTAGAGGGGATTACCATGTAATGAAACTCAAACGACTACTACTTTTCATACGAAATCCATTTTCTTTTTTCTCCTTCTTCTCTCTCTCTCTCTCTCTCTCTCTCTCTCTCTTTCTCTCTTTCTCTCTTTGTCGCGGGCGAATGGAACACAAAGTGTTATTTCGAACGAATTTCTCGTGATTGATCGTGAAGGAGGATCAGTAATTTAATAACTGTTCCCGGTTCGATATGATAATCAACATTAAGCTTTAGGTCAATCTTTTCTTCTTTTCATTCTTTTTTTTTCTTTTCTTTTTTCTTTTCGGACGCAACAAAGACGCGATACGTCACCGGTCCTTTTTATCGTGGCAACGAAGAGATACGATCTTTTTTACTGGATCGATCTCCTAATTTTCCAAAAATATTTATTCTCGTACGTATTAACATTTACATATATACACGTTATACCATTAGACGATAGAGATACGTGCTTCTTCGTAGGAAGAAGAAAAAAAGAAAAAAAAAGAAAGAAAAAAAAGAGAAAAAAAAATATATATATATATATATATATATGTATAGTGAAATCGATCGATCGATCCGATCGATAATTTGATTTCGAAATTTCGACTCACGTTTAGTCTAGGAACCGAAGCCGATCTTCCATTGATCCTTCGCCGTCTTAATATCCTAGCACGTTCACGATCCCTTCTTGTACATCTGTCGTCCTGTCGTGAATTTATCAATGTGTTAGTAGATCGTAAAGTGGTATCGGTTGGTCCTGTACCATCCTCGTGTAGAGAACGTACACCAACGAGGACGCATCCTTCGTCCTCGTCGACGCCAGCGACAGCGTTGCTACAGTTCCGCATTCCATCGGCCTCCGTCGTCGTTATAAACTCAGTATATTCGTTTCTCTTTCTAATCCCCGTAGATAGATCCTCGGTTGATCTTGAGGAATAAAGACGTGAACACTTACGATGTTTCCTACGTTCAATAACGAACGACGAGGCACGTGTTCTCGTCGTATTTAACGTTGATAATGTATCGTTTCTCGTACGATATCTCGTAGCCGATTGGAGTACGATCTCGTCGATGATTTTCAAGTTCGTATTTGATAAATTCTCATGCGTGGAATCCTCGTTAATTGATTCTGAACCAGGTGCCGAAAGTGTACGCCTTAGGACACGACGTTGATCGACGTTATTCGGAACGATCTTTAAAATCGACGAGGACTTTGATTTCGTCACGTTGTTCCTCGTAGCTCGTGTCAAAGTGTCACGATAACATAGATTCAGTATGGTCGTACGTTTCCCTTCAAGCGTCAATCCGTTCTCATTGTTGTTGTTGTTGTTGTTGTTGTTGTTGTTGTTATTATTATTATTATTATTATTATTGTTACCTTCGTTGAGAATATCCAACGAGCGTGATACTTTTATCCTTCTCGACGATAAATCCTCGTTGATCGTAGCTCGTTGATCTTTCGATCTATCGATTCTCGACGAATTCAAACGTAAATCAAACTTTTTCATCGACCCTAATGACGTACAATTAAAATTCTCCGATAAATTGGAGGCAGTGGTAATCCTTTCGTTCGAATAATATCCTCTTTCGTTTATTTTCTTCTCTTCGTTGACATTGTTGGATGTTAAAAATGATTCAGTAGGAAGAGAATTAGAAGGAGGAAGAATAGAAGTAACAGAAAGAGGAGAAAGAGAAGATGGTAAAGTCAATGACGATGACGACGATAGCGGCGGTGGTGGCGGCGGAGGTGGTGGCGGTGGCGGTGGAGGTGGTGGTGGAGGTGGCGGTGCTCGTCTCTTTTCTGGCCACGAGTTCTCGCGTGTTCCGTCGACGTCGACGCACTGACGGACGGAGATCAGACGGCAACCGCCGTCCTCCCCACTATCATCCTCGGTGATATACATCCGAAATAAACTAACGCTTACGTTAAAACTCTCGCGTCATCGCTCGTCTCGACGATTTACGCGGACTTGCCGCAACGTTGTATACGTTCTTGTTATTGTTGTTGTTATTTTTCTTCCCCTTCTTCTTCTTTTTCTACTACTATTACTGCTACTTTTACTATTGCTGTTGCTGCGCTATTACTACTTCTTTCTTCCTCTTTTACGATCAACGAGATTTCTCTTTTCCTCTATTTCTTCTTCTTTTTCTTCTATCTTCTTTCCTTTGTTATCGTTATCTCTATCTTTATCTCTATCTTCTTCTCGCTTGTTCTTTTCCTTTCCTCTCTCTCTCTCTCTCTCTCTCTCTCTCTCTCTCTTTTTCACTATCTTGTTATTTTCCTTCTTCTTCGACTTTTCGATAGTATCAAGTCAAACATATTTCCTCGTACGAACTTCGATCATATGTCATTGAGATAGAAAGAGAGATAGAAACAGATAGAAAGATAGAAAATAAGAGAAAGAGAGAGATAGAAAGAGAGAGAGAGAGAGAGAGAGAGAGAGAGTGAGAGAGAGAGGGAGAGAGTGAGAAATGAAAAATAGCGGAATTAATACGAAATGGATTTGATTTAAAAAATCAGACGTATGTGATTTGAAAATAATGTCGTAGATTACAAATGAGATTGATAATCGTAAGTATTCTTGAAGGATCATCAAACTGAACGTTTAAAAAAGTTCACATGTTCAACTCGCTATCCTTGATGATAAACGATATAATCTTCTTTCGCTGATTATACACTTCTCCGCTGTGGAAACACTTTTTTTATCACCGAAAAAATAAGAAGCAACAATAACAAAAAAAAAAAAAAACACAATATTTCGTATTCAAAGGGTGTATCGTAAAACACTTTTTTGTAATCGTATTCAAACACTTTTTTCTTTTTCCTTTTTATTTCCTTATTATTTTTTCCAGTCTTGTTTACTTCTGTATCCTATTTTTTTTTTTTGCTTTTCTTTTTCACAAACTATTAAAATTACTCATAACGATTGTATATACGTATATATATATATATATGTATGTATACATATATGTGTATATACACCGTTATACATATCCACTTGTTTCAATTACTAAATTGTAACAATGACATTTAGAGAGGAAAAAAAAAATGAAAAGAAAAAGAAAAAAGATAAATGAATTTCTCAATAGCGAGAGAACAAAAACAATTGCACGTTTTACGAGTCGATCGTTATCCAATACGTATACATATATTTTACGTATCTCACGTCACTAGTTGAATCAATTTATCAAATTACGACAGTGACGTTAAAAAAAAGAAATAAAACAGAACGAATTCCACGTCGAAAAAACAAAACGAACAGAAAAAAAAAACAGACAACAAAACAAAAGAAGAATTCGAACAATTGCACAGGTCTATCGAATCGATCGATATCTCGATATATGTATACATATGTATATATATGTGATTGTATTTTCGCACTTAGTTGCGTCGTTTATCGAATTACTACGATAACGTATTAAGAAAATTGAAAAAAAAAAAGAAAAAAAAAATAAAGGAAACAATTATCGGAGGAAAAGAAAAAAAAGAAAAAAAAAACTAACAAATGAGAACAAAGAAATTTTTGTCGGATAGAACGAAAAAACGAAAATCTAAGAGAAGAAAATTGCAAGATAACACGCCGTATCCTTATCGATCGATCGAGTAAGCCGAGTGAGTAAGAGAGATAGAAAGAAAGAGAGAGAGAGAGAGAAAGAGAGAGGAAGGGTGAGAGGAGGAATAAAAAAGGAAAAAAAAATCCACACAATAAAAGAAAATAAAGAAATAAAAAAATTAAAAAAAAAAAGAAAAACCATAAAAGTATAACGAAACGTTCGATTCGAGGCTTACGGTAGGTCGGACACACGAACGACTCAGAAAAAGGGACGCAAAGGCATCGAGCGCCGTTGGCCTACTGCGACGGCTCCTAATCCCGACGTTCGACTAACGCGTGCACACTCTATACAAACACAGCCATACACACACACACACACAGACAGCAGTAGACAGACAACAGCATACATACATACATACATACACAGGATATACACAAAACAGACACAGAGAGATACACAATCACATGTATACACAAGCACACCATAGGGAAAAATAGGAACACATAAATGTTTTCACAACTTATGTATATATATATATATAGAGTACTATTATGATTATAGTAGTATTACTATAACAATAATAGTACTACTGTAACACACTAATATTACTATATATTATTTGTATTACAATGTATAATTCTTTTTTTTTTTTTCTTTTTTCTTATCACCGATCTACCCGTATTCACTTTTCATATGTATGCTTTGTGTGTGGGGTCTTTTTTTTTTGTGTGTGAACGCTCGCGCTAACGTTTGCGCTCGTGCGCAAACGTTCAATTCCATTCGAAGCGCACTAGTCCGCGTTCGGCTCTAAACTCTCACCGGTTCGATTCTCTCTCTCGCATATGCCACGCTTCGAGTTCGAACCTTGCTCTCGCTGAGAAGGAGAGCCGTCTCTCCCTCTCTCTTTCACTCCTTCCCTCTCTCTCTCTCTCTCTCTCTCTCTCTCTCTCTTTCCCTCCTTCTCTTTCCTTCGGTCTATCTTTCTCTATCTCACATAAACACACACTATACTAACTATTCCCGTCTGCTGTATGTAAGTGATCGTTCGCGTAAACGCCCGAGACCCCATCGTTCTCTCTCTCTCTCTCTCTCTCTCTCTTTCTCTCTCTTGTCGTCGTCGTCCTCGTCGTCGTCGTCGTCGTCGTCTACGTTCTCCAATCAGCGAACGATCCGGCACTTTGAGCCCTGGAATGCCTTTTCCTTTCGGAAACCGATTGGAAAAGGCGTGCAGTTGCACGCAGGAGTAATATGCACTGCCACAAAAATTAGCGGTAATCGATCAATCGTAATCGTAATCGAGAACAAGTTGAGATTTGTGTTTTTCCTTTTTTTTCTCTCGTTTCTCTTTTCTTTTCTCGTCCTCTCTCTCTCTCTCTCTCTCTCTCTCTCTCTCTCTCTCTCTCTCTCTGATTTCTTTTTTTTTCATTTTGTTTTTTTTTTCTTCTTTCTTAAGATCGTAGGAAATTGTCGGAGGGATTTTGTAATTTGTAATGATCCTTAATGATCTTTCTAGAGATTTTTTTCTTTTTCGTTTTGTTTTGTTTTGTTTTTTGCTTTTTTTTTTATCACTAAATATCGTGGGAATGACCGACATTCGAGCTCGCTAAAACTTCCTTTAAGAACGTTCTTAAAATTTTCTCTTCTTCTTCTTCTTCTTCTTCTTTTTCTTCCTCCATCGCCTTCATCCTTGTCTTTGTCTTCTTCTTCTTCTTCTTCTTCTTCTTCTTCTTCTTCTTCTTTTTTCTTATTTTCCTTTTCTCTTTCTTTTACCCTTCGCATAGATATTTGAAATACTTGTAACGTTTTATTTTTGATGATTTATTTTTAATGACTACGAATTCTTCTGTATTGTTATTTGCTTTTAATTCTTTCTTTTTCTTTTTCTTTTTTTTTTTTTTTACAGAAAATTATAAAACGTTACGAGGGAACGGAGACGTCGATTATCTCAAAGGTAATTTAATTTACAAATTTTACTTTTGTATTTTGATATAGCAAAAGTCATTCGTATGGAATTAAAACGAATAAATCGTTTGATCGATAAAAATAGAAATATTGAAGATTACGAATTAAGAATGAAATGATTGACAAAAGCCAATGATATTATTTGTCATATCAATTTTATACGACAAATTATATACTTAAATATTATTTCACGCGATTGTACGTCTGGATTTGTTAATGAAATCTATTTATTTACATGATTACTTTATTCCATTTCATTTTATTTATTAATAATTAAAGATATCAAATTTCGATATGTCTGTCTGATAGGGATTATCGTTATCAATTATCAGATATGATACAAATTTTTGATTAAAAATCCATGATACGAGAACAATGTTAAAATAAATATCTGTTAGAATAAATACATTGATTAATTAAATAAATTAAAATAAAATAAAAAAGAGAGAGAGAGAGAGAGACAGAGACAGACAGAGAGAGAGAGAGAGAGAGAGAGAGAGAGAGAGAGAGAGAGAGAGAAAATTGAAAGATACGAGAGAGAAGATGAAACGATACAATCTAAGAGATTATTGAAATGGTAAAAAATTTTTATGTGAATTTAAATATCGACTATATTTAATACAATTTTACGTAATATATCTTAATATTCGTGTTTTTATCAATGACCTATCTCACGATGTCGATGTATCAAGGAGTCAAAGTATCAAGATGATTAAAGATAATCGATCGAAAGTTCCGAAAAGAACAACCAGGAAAGTCTTTCGCATGCTTGGTTAATGGGACTGGTTTGGTTTCGTGCGAACTACGACGATAAAATCCCAAACACATGATTTTCTTTTCTATAGTTTCCGTGGTTTTTCATATCCGGAGAAAAGAAAAGAAAAGAAAAGCAAAAAAGAAAAAAAAGGAAGCGAAAGAATGTTTACATCGTCGATAATAATCCACTTTGCGTTTACGTTGCTATTGAATTATTATTGATGTATACTTTTTACGAGAATACCACATCCATTCCGCGGTAATTTTATAATCAAATAAAAAAAAAAAAAAAAAATAATAAAAAAAATAAAAAAAAGAAAGAAGAAAAAATAAATCTAATATCCTACCGATGTAGAATTATGTTTGTCTTTTTTTTTTTTTTTTTTTTTTTGAATTAAACGGTAAATGCAATTTTCAGTAAAACAATTCTAATTTTGTTTACTTAAAAAAACAATTTCGACATTAATAATTTGTTAAATATTGTAAATTATTTGAAATATTTGATTTTTCAAAGTTTCAAACTTTTTTGGTGCTTCGAAGGGAATTCGATCAACGTATTGAGTTTTACGAACTCGAGGACAAAAGCTCACCGAGTCGTTTTCTCTGTGCACTAGAACGTACGACGACACGTTCAATTGATTTTTGCACGTGCCACTTCTCTCTGTCTACATTTTCCCTCCTCTCGGATTGTCGTTCGCGCACGTGCGAGTTCGATTTTATTAATTGCACAACATGGCTCGTTCGTTCTACCATGTGATTTTCACGATAAAACTCTTGGGACTGTGCAACCCTTCTATCGCCCTATTCAAACTTTACGAGTTGGTATTATGAATTGAAATATTTGTTTGACAAATACACACACAGAGAAAAAACAAAGAAAGAGAGAAGAGGGGGTGAGTATAGCCTGTGGCAAAATTTAAATAACAAATAAAATTGACTAAGCTTTTATACCATTATTCCTTTTTCTATCCGATGTCGTTCTTTCAAACTTTTTCTCTTTTGGAAACAATCAATTATTTATTTATTAGAATTTATTTCAATTAATTTTTATTCATATTGTCGCATTGAAAATAGGATGAAAGGATGGAAAGGGAAAAATGATAGGATATTATTGAGTAACGTAATCGATTCCAAAAAGATGGATAGTAATTTAAATGGATAAAGAAGAATTAATTTAAAGGAATATTTTTAATTTTTTTCTTATTCAGTCAAATCTGTTAAAAGGAAAAACAAAAAAAAACTAAATAAATAAAAACAAAAATAAACAACTTCATTCCATACAATTGCACATATATCATTGAAAAAGCTAGACATATATATACGTGTATACGCACACGCATGCATGCATGCATGCACACACACACACACACACACACACACACACACAGATAGACACATATATCACGACAAATTTTCCCAAAGATTTTCAAAGGATGATAAAAGAGAACATTTCGAGAAGTTGAACGAGACGAATGGAACCTCTGTTCTTTAAATTAAACGTTTCTCGAAAAACCATCTATTTGCTTCGCTCCAAACGAAATTATAGTACTACGAGGGATATTGATAAGGCAGGTCAATATTTTTCAACGTAGACGTATAATTTAGTATACGTGATGATACCTTTAACGACATAGTCATGTACTTTTCTTAGATTATCTCACGATACCTTTAGATTCAGGCGTGTTCCAATAATAATTTCACGAATTTTCATATATATATATGTATATAAAATAGTTAAGTAAAAAGTGCGTGATTACTGATAATAGTATTAATGTCAAAATTGAATATACATACATATATATATATTTTTTTTAGTAAAATTTAAATAATATAAAAAAAATTTTTTTTATTTGTAAAAACTTTTCTTCTTATCTACTACTAATTTTCTTTCTCTCCCTCTCTCTCTCTCTCTCTCTCTCTCTCTCTCTCTCTCTGTCTGTCTGTCTGTCTGTCTCACCCTCTATAAATATCATAATATAATATAATATATTAGATGCTCTAATAATCGAGTGACGTAATTGTTTCAACAGTTGTAATTATAGATAAACGTTACCGTTACATTTAACAAGTTTTTCTTTGTGATTATACGATCGATTGTATCGACCTACTGTTCATGGACATATATTTTATTCTCACGTGTTCGAATTAAAAAAAAATTACATATACATATATACACAGATACATATATATATATATATATATATATATAATATGTATGTGTATATATATATATATATATATATATATATATCTAGAAAGAGAGAAAAAGAAAGACTGAAAGAGAGAGAGAGAGAGAGAGAAAAGAACGTACACAGGACAGGCTTCAAACTCGTCCTGCCCTTGAATCGATCATGGGAGTGATACGACCGCAAGAATGTGAGAAGCTTGGAGGTATTTCAAGGTCAGCCAACGAGAACTGTCGAACGGAATCTGATCTTATTATTGTCATCGAGAATTGTCCATCTTTAATTATATTTTTACTTTAATATATTAATTCGATCTTGTATAATAAACTTAATACTAATTGTCGAACTTGAGGAAGGATATTTCTTTTTTTTTTTTTTTTTCTTTTTTTTTTTTAACTTCGACGAATCTTTTATATCTCGTTAAAATTAATCGTTGAAAAAAAAGGAAAAAAAAAGAAAAAGAAAAAGAAAAAGAAAAAAATAAGATCTATAATTTTTTACAAATTTAATTAATCCACGATATATCCCTCGTTCCCTCGTATTTATTTATTCGACAAAATATCAAGTATGAAATATAAAAATAATTAAAAAAGAATATCGGCGAAACGCATCAGTATAAAAATATACATAGATGGACCAATTTATCGTGAAATAGAATGTAATTTAACATTGTCATTCCATTTTATCATTTCCTCATGGTCATATATTATATTTATGGGGAAATATACGAACGAAGATAATACGAACTTTGCAAATCGGAAAATGTATGCGTGTATGTATACGGGCGAGTTATTAGCAAAAAGGAAACAGTAGTTGTATCTCCTTAATGACTGCAGATACTTGAAAAAAAGAAATTAGAAAAAAAAAGAAAAGAGAAAAAAAAAAGAAATTCATTCCTATCGAAATCCATTTTCTAC